AGGGTGGGGACACATCATGACCGAGTCTTCCGGCGGTTTTGCAGACTCCCTCGGCCGCTTTTCAACGAGATCCTGGCACGGATTGCTCCCCATATCCAAAGGCAGAGCACGAACTGGAGGCAGCCAATTCCGGCAGGGCAGAAGTTCGCGTGTGCTCTCATGAGGTGGGCGACAGGGGGCTACTACAGGCAGACGGCGCATGGATTGGGGTTGGGTCTCTGCAGTGCCTTGCGAAGCAACGAGGACGTGGCGGATGCGCTCCTCAGGGAGTACGGGCAGACCATATCCTTCCTGACTGGAAGGAGGTTGCAAGAGATGATGGACGCCTTCGAGAGGAAAGGCTTCTCGGGTTGTGTGGGGGCAATTGACGGCACCCACATTTACATAGAGAAGCCCAAGAACGAGAGGTCCGAGTGCTACCACGATAGGACAGGGCAGTTCTCCATCGTCGCGCAAGTCGTTTGCGACCATGAATGTCGAATCTCTAGCGTTTACGTTGGATGCCTTGGGTCTGTCCATGATTCGCGAGTCCTTCACATATCCCGTTTGTACCAGATTGCTCAAGAGGGCGGGGGGGTATTCGGGAGCGGGACAGTTGTTTTGCGCGACGGGCGGAGCGTTGGTCGGTATCTTCTAGGCGACGCGGGCTATCCACTGCTGCCTTGGATCATGACCCCGGGCTGGCGCGGTCCAAGGACTCCTAAGCAGGTGGTGTATGACGATTGTCACACGTCTGCGAGGTCGTGCATCGAGAGGACATTTGGGCGGTTGAAAGCGGTGTGGAGGCACTTCATCAAGCGGCAAATCGTGAACATGAAGACATTGGTGAAGGAATTCATGGCTATATGCATTCTGCATAACTTGATGGTGGACTCGAGGGTGTTCATCAATCCGGATCTATTATCGGAGGACGGCGACCACAACGACGGCGACGATGTGCATAATAGTCGTCGACGTCGGCGGCGTGTGCGCATTCCCGACAATGCGCCCCGGCAAGCGGCTGCTATGGATGACTCCGCACCTACCAGCGACCTGGCGAAACACATATGATTGAGCCTTGTCACCCACGTTAATCATCACACACGTGTCCATGGCGCCCCGGCACCAAGCCCTTGGCAGACATGATGACCTGCCCGTGACGGGTGAAAGGGGTGGGTGGGTGGGGGGGGGGTTAGGATAGCAAAGGGTGGGGGGCCTCTCCCTCCCTTCGGCGTTCAGAATTACGGAATGTTTGTATTTGGGTCCCATTCATGCCGTTGTGTAACGGCACATGATATTTATTTTGTTTCTTCAAGTGCCTCCGCTCGTGTCCTTGATTGATGATCTCTCTCTCTCTCTCTCTCTCTCTCTCTCTCTCTCTCTCTCTCTCTCTCTCTCTCTCTCTCTCTCTCTCTCTCTCTCT